TATCTTTTTTATAGAGTGATTTTAGTTCCTTCATGTATATTCCCAGAAGGGGGATTGCAGGGTCATATGTAAGGTCGATTTTTAGATCTTTTAGGAATTGCCAAACTGTTTTCCACAGAGGTTGTACCAATTTACCTTCCTAGCAACAGTGTAGAAGTGTTCCCTTTTCTCCTCATCCTCTCCAGCATCTGTTGTTTTTTTGTGTTATTGATGATGGCCATCCTGACTGGAGTTAGGTGGTATCTCAGTGTGGTATGTTTTTTTTTTTTTTGAATTGGAATCTTACTCCATCATCCAGACTGGAGTGCAGTGGCACGCTCACAGCCACCCCAACATCGACCTGCTGGGCTCAGGTGTACCTTCTGCCTCAGCCTTCCAAGTAGCTGGAACTACAGGCACGTGGTACCATGCCCGGCTAATTTTTTTGATTTATTGTAGAGATGAAGTCTCACCAAGTTGCCCAGGCTGGCCTCAAACCTCTGGTCTCAGGCAATCCTCTTGCCTAAGCTTCCCAAAGTACTGGGATTACAGCTTGAGCCACTGTGCCTGGCCTTCAGTATGGTTTTAATTTGCATTTTTTTTTTAAATTTAAAATTTTTTAAAAATTTTTAATCAATATTTTTTATTATGATTTTGTGGGGTACAGTTAAGGGTTAGGTGTACAATTACGTTTCATTCAGGCACCCTGTTGATAAGAGGTGTTTCCCCATCCCCAGACAGACATTTGCGACTGTTAATCTCATCCCCCTCCCCCTCATAGTTTCCCAGTACCGTCAGTCATTTTCTTATAGTATTACATTGGATGTTCAAGGTCCATTATATGAGTGAGAACATGTGATACTCAGATCTTTGTTTCTGTGAGAGGTCACTCAGTATTATAGACTCTAGTTCCATCCAGGTTGCTGCGAAATTCATGCTTTTATTCTTTTTTATGGCTGCGTAGTATTCCATTGTGTATATGTACCACATTTTTTTAATCCAGTCCTCTTTTGATGGGCAGCATGGTTGTTTCCAGGTTCTTGCTATTGTGAACAATGCTGCGATAAACATACGTGTGCAGGTATCTTTTTTATAGAGTGATTTGAGGTCTTCAGGGTATATTCCCAGTAGGGGGATTGCGGGGTCATATGGAAGGTCGATTTTTAGAGCTTTTAGGAATCGCCACACTGCTTTCCACAGAGGTTGCACTAGTTACACTCCCGCCAACAGTGTAGAAGTGTTCCCTTTTCACCACACCCTCTCCAGCAGCTGTTATTCAGACTTCAAACTTTACTATAAAGCTACAATCATCAAAACAGCTTGGTATTGGTACAGGAACAGGCATATAGATCAATGGAATAGAATTGAGATTCCAGAAGCTAAACCTCAATTTCTCAACCAACTCGTCTTTGACAAAGCCCCCACCACCTACCACTGGGGAGAGGGGAACCTATTCAGTAAATGGTGCTGGGAATACTGGCTGACCACATGCAGAAGATTGAAACAGGACCCCTATCTATCCCCATGCACAAAGGTTAACTCCAAATGGATCAGAGACCTAAATGTAAAACCTCAAACCATAAGAACCTTAGAAAAGGAAGGAAATACCCTCATGGAAATCGGAACTGGCATCAATTTCCTGAACAAAAACCGAAACCCACAGGTCATAAGAGAGAAGATAGACAGGTGGGACCTTATTAAACTGACCAGCTTCTGCAAAGTCAAAGAAACCATCAAGAGAGCAGGGAGACAGCCTACAGACTGGGAAAAAGTATTTGCCAACTCCAGGTCTGACAAAGGCTTAACATCCTGGATCTACAAGGAACTCAAATGTGCTGAAAAGAAAAAAACAAACAACCCCATTATCAAATGGGCAAAAGATATGAACAGACACTTCACAAAAGAAGACATCCGAGCAGCCAACAAACATATGAAGAAATGCTCAACCTCACTAATCATCAGGGAGATGCAAATCAAAACCACACTGAGATACCACCCAACTCCAGTCAGAATGGCAATTATCAGCAACTCAAAAAATTAATTTGCATTTCTTTGATGACAGTGAGGCTGAGCATTTTTTCATTTATCTGTTGGCTGCCTGTATGTCTTCTTTTGAGAAGTGTCTATTCATATCTTTTTCCATTTGTTTTTTTCTTTTTGGCATGGTTGAGTTCCCTACAGATCCTAGATGTTGGGCTTTTATCAGATATACAGTTGGAAAATATTTTTTCCCAGTCTGTGAGCTGTCTTCCTGCTCTCTTGATGGTTTCTTTTGCTTTGCAGAAGCGTTTCAGTTTGATGAGGTCCCAATTGTCTATCTTATCTCTTATGGCATGGGCACTTGGGGTTTTGATCAGGAATTGGTTGCCATTTCCAATTTCCATAAGGGTGTCTCCTGCATTTTCTAAGATTCTTATACTTTGAGGTTTTACATTTAGGTCTTTGATCCATTTAGAGTTGATTTTTGTGTATGGTGATAGGTAAGGGTCTTGTTTTAATCTTCTGCATATTGTCAGCCAGTTTTCCCAGCTTCATTTATCGAATAGGTTCTCCTCACCCCATGGAGATGGTGGAGGCTTTGTCGAAGATACGTTGGTTGAGAAATTGATGTTTTGCTTCTAGAATCTCTATCCTGTTCCATTGGTCCGTATGCCTGTTCTTGTACCAATACCAGGCAGTATTGATTATTGTAGCCTTATAATAAAGTTTGGAAGTGTGATATCTCCTACTTGGTTCTTTTGCTGAGGATTGTTTTGGCTATCTGTGGTCATTTATGTTTCCATATGAATTCCTGTATTGCCATTTCCAGGTCTGAGAAGAATGCTGCTGGTAATTTAATGGGTATTGCGTTAAATCTGTAGATTGCCTTGGGTCGGATGGACGTCTTAACAACGTTGATTCTTCCAATTCATAGGCATGGAATATTTTTCCATTTGTTTGTGTCATCTTTGATTCCTTTGAGCACTGTTTTGTAGTGGTGTAATTTTCTCCCTGAGTGTTTTTTTAAAGAGGCATACCACAGACACTGGCATGTTGTGCTTTCATTGGCATTCAGTTCAAAGTACTTTCTAATTTTCCTTTTGATTTATTTTTTTCTACCACGGGTTATTTATAAGTGTATTTAATTTTCTAGATACATTTTTGTTATTGATTTCCAATTTAATTCTATTTTAGTCAGCAAGCATTCTTTGTATGATGTTAATCCTGTTAAATTGATTGAGACTTATTTTATCTACCTTGGTAAATATTTCATGTACATTCAAAAAGAGTATGTATTATGTTGTTGGGTGGAATGTTCTATAAATACCAATGGCATTGGATTGTCTGATAGTATTGTACAGATCTTCTATGTCCTTACTGATATTTTGTCTTGAGGTACATTGAAATCTCTAACTACAATTGTGGCATTTTCTATTTCTCCTTGTAGTTCTATTAGTTTTTGTTTCACGTGTTTTAAAACTCTGTTGTAATGCTCATAAACATTTAGAATTATTACATGTTCTTAATTAATTGATACCTTCATCATCATGAAGTGATAATATTATTGTCTGAAATCTACTTTTTCTGATCGTTTTCTTTTGGTTAGTGTTGGGGGCATGTCTTTTCCATCCTTTTACATTTAACTTATTTATGTCCTATTATCTCCAGTGCATTTCTTATATGCAGCATACAGTTGGAGCTTGTTTTATCCAGTCTTACAAGTCTTGCCTTTTAATTGGAGTGTGTAAACTACATAGTATATATTATGTTATATGCTTAATACCCCGCTAGTCCTATCATTTCTGTCTTTTTGATTGATTCGTTTTTCTTTTCATGATGGGTCACATTTTCCGGCTTCTTTGCATGCCTGGTCATTCTTTATTGGATTCCAAATATGAGAAATTTTAACGTTGTTTTGTGCTAGTTATTTTTGTATTGCTCTAAGTCTTCTTGAAACAAACTGCTTGAAACAGTTTGCCTCCTTAGGGTCTTGTTTTTAAGATCTGTTAGGCAGGACTGGAAGAGTGCTCAGTCTGATTGTAGATACTTCCCACTCCTGAAGCAAGATCCTTTTTTTCTTTTTTTTTGAGTTGGAGTCTCACTCTGTCACCCAGACTGGAGTGCAGTGGCCCCTCCTGGCCACCGCAGCCTCGACCTGCTGGGATCCGGTGATTCTTCCGCCTCAGCCTTCCGAGTAGCCGGAATTACAGGCATGTGCTACCACACCCAGCTGATTTTTTGATTTATTGCAGAGATGAGGTCTCGCTGCCTAGGCGGGTCTCAAACCCGCGGGCTCAGGCAATCCACTCACCTCAACCTCCCAAAGGCGCGGGATTACAGGCTGAGATCCTTTTTTTCATGTTTCACTCAATGCCTAATGAAGTATGAATTGTTTCAATCTGGCTAATGGAAACAGAGTCTGTTTCTGGTGCTGTGTGATGTGATCACTAGACACACACGATTGTTACCTTTAATTCTTTTGTGTGGTTCTTTTCCTGGTGTCAGTTTATCAGTGATTTCTCATCTGCATATAGAGAGAAGCACACTGATAATTTTCTCAATTTGTACAGCCCCCTCTGGTCCTCTGTCCTGTGGATTCTGGCTATCTTTCAATGTCTAAGCTGTTTCTTCTCCAGTCAGCATGTCCCCTGGGCACCTGCTTGGTTTCTCCCTCCTGAGCCATGGGCTGGATGCTCTCTCTTTTTTTTTTTATTATTAATCAATATTTTTTATTATGGTTTTGTGGGGTACAGTTAAGGGTTAGGTGTACAACTACGTTTCATTCAGGCACCCTGTTGATAAGAGGTGTTTTCCCATCCCCAGACAGATATTTGCTACTGTTAATCCCATCCCCCTCCCCCCTGGATGCCCTCTTAAAGCAGCAAGCCAGGATAATGGTAGGTGGCAAGTTAGAAGGGATTTCTAATCTTTTGTTTTTTACATTTTCAACCATATCTGTTGAACTGTGCTAACATTTCCACTTTACTAGATTTGTCTGTTATACTAAATTTAATCAATATATGAAATGTCTTTCTACTTAGCTTTCCCTGAGGAATCTTGTTATGAAGAAAACATGGATTGGAAAATCATCAGTGATAATTATTTTGCATTTTTGAATCACTTACTGAAGTCTCCGGTAACTTCCATATCCAGGTAATTTATCAAAATCCAACTTCAAGGTCTCGATTGAATGATCATCTAAAGATAATAAAAGCCTAATTATAGGGTATGCACTCTTTAAAATTGACTCACCTGATCTAGATATTGACACAGCCCTTCATATTAGGTGCTCAATAAATACTTGTTTAATAGAATGTAAGACTCAAGTTTCAAGTTGTTTAATAAAATGTACCACTCGATGGATTTTGAAAGGAAATATAGATTATATTAATAAGATTTTCTCTTGATAGTAACACAATAACTTTCCACTCTGCTATTTCGGCACATGTATTAGAATGGAGATTTTTATGTATGGTTAAAGATATTATGTCCAGTTTAAAGGCACACTTCATTGTGGAGTGTTTTGGGACATGATGAAAAGAGGTTTTCATTAGAATAGTAGCTCTCAAATTCAGGAGTGGATCAATCTTATCTGTGAAGTTTGCTAAAAATACAAATGCCTGCACCTTGCTCCACAGATACAAAATTTTGCTCTGTGTATAGGACTCGGGTTTCTGTATCTGTAATAAATTCTATCAGTGGTTCTAGGACACACTGGAGTCTGAGAACCAGTCTGCTATATGTCTCTAGACCTGGGATTCCTCACTCCTGGGGAACTTTTTTAGTGGGCACAGAAGAAAGGACAAAGGAAGGGACTTTCTAGAGAAATGATTCTTTGCTCATGTCAGAGTTATAATTCCTTATTTTCCTAAAAGTCACCAACATTTAACGGCCCCAGAAAGACAGCAACAAAACCAGTTCGTATGTGTGCCAAGAGCATGCTTAATTTTATATTTGTAGACCCACATCAGTTGGCACAATGTCTTTCATCTCAGATATGAGATAATAGATGTTGATTTAATGAATGAAAAAAATATTGGATATTGAGTGCAATTTATATTAAGGAAACAAACCTGGGCTGTGTCCTGCTCACACCCCATAATAACAGCTTTAATCTAATTTTAAAAAACAGAAAAGTTTCTTTTTTCATGGAATGTGTACCTTAAAAGGCTGCTGTAAAAATGAACTAAGCTTGTAGTTGTGGAAGTGCTATATAAATTGCAAAATGACATAAAAGTGTGTGGCAGTGTTTCTATTAGTATTACTATTTCTGCTTCAATTTGTTGCTCGTGTGCTAATCTTGCTGTTCCATAACCCTTTCGGTTCCCAATACAAATACAGTTTTATATTCTCCTCTATTAAAGCAAGAAAACTTGCTTGGTAATTTCTGTGCAGGGCTGGCTTCAGGCAGAGTTTATACTGAATTCCTAATAGCAGAACTTTCTCTTTCCTGATGGAGAATTTTCCCAGGAATTGTTTTGAAGCAGTCATTCTCTGTCCTGCAGATAACAATTAACTAAATGAAGCGCAAGCATATTTTTTATGTTCCGATCCCAGTCAAGGATTTGTTGTTTTCAAGAGGAAAACAGCATTTTTGCATTTGCTTTGTCTTGTATTTGTCCAATGTCAGAGTGCTACAGGACAGCAGTACAGAGTTAAAGGAGGGAGAGAGTAATTCACCCTTTAAGGCATTCATAGCTAATAAAGGTCAACTTTTCTTACCCACAATTCCGAACTCTCAAACTATCTGAAAATAGAAGCTTTTCTTATGATTGACATCAACTCATTCAGCAGAGACTTGGCCTGAAAGATGTGACTCTGCTTCAAGTTTGTTGGTCCCCCACAGTGAGACCGTTCATGGGCCCATTGCCAACGTGCTAGCATATTGATGACCAGGGCTGCCCCAGGCCCTCCTGGGAGGTGTTAAGACATGTCTGATACCAGTAGCATGTTGCCTTTCTCAAGTCTGACCATTCTGAGTTCTGAAATACATGTGGTCCAAAGAATTTCAAAAGTGGACTTGTAACTTCTGAGTTAGAAATTAGCTCTATAAGTGAGAGTTTCTACCACAAGAGTAAACTTGTCATAGCCTCAGAGTTGCTCTTCTGAGAACTTTGTATTTAAAAAATGAACACCTGGAGAGAAATTGCCCCATATATCATAATGATTTTCTAGTGGGATTTATACCTACTAGTAGAAAATCATTATGTTGAAAGAGCACTGGAATTGCCTTCTGGGACAGAGAATCCCAACAATTTTCCTTATATCATACAGGCATGGTATTGCATGGATGCCACTATTTGGACTACTCCTATAGTCCAAGATGTTTTGAGATGGAATTGAGTCGTAAGGTTTTTCTGGCTTAAATAGTAAACTTTAAAAAAAATTTTATTTAAAGATGTGAAGTACATGTCAGGATTTGGCACATAAGTGGTTTGTGTACAGGTGAAGTTTGGGCCTTCCATTGAAACTCACTTCGTCTGGTTTGGGATCAGGCACCCTTATTGATGCTATGTACTCCCCCCGCCCCACCTGATAGTGTCCTACTACTGTCAGTCCCTTTCTTGTAGAGTTATGCTAGATGTAAGGGTCCACTTATGAGTGAGAACACGTGGTACTCAGTTCTTTGTTTCTGTGATAGATTACTGAGTGTGATAGACTCTAAGTCCATCCTAATTGCTGTGAAGTACATACTTTTGTACTTTTTTACGGCTGCATAATATTCCATTGTGTATATGTACCACAGTTTTTTTTATTCAGTCCACTTTTGATAGGCAACACAGTTGGTTCCATTTTTTTTTGCTATTGTAAATAGTATTGCAATAAACTTGCATGTGCAGGTATCTTTTTTGTAGAATGACTTGAGTTCCTCTGGGTATATTTCCAGAAGGGGATTGATGGGTCATATAGAAGGTCAATTTCTAGTTATTTTAGAAACTGCCACACTGTTTTCCATAGAGGTTGAACTAGTTTGCACTCCACAAACAGTATAGAAAGTAAACTTTATCTACAAATTAACAGAGCAAAATAATTTAGAATGCATTCTTTTTGATTGTCAAAAACACATTTTAAACTAAATATATACAATTGCTATTGTGGATTTGTAAAGCACTTTCAAATGTTCACATTAGTTTAATTTGTGTTGGGAAGTATATTGTAATATGTATAATATGTTTCATTTATGTTTTACTGTCAATAAATAAGTTTTAACTTGTAAATTTGATAAGTTGAATTTTTTTTTCATTCTGATACTAAAACAATTTTATTAATATTATAGGGCCTTACATTTCACAAAGCACCTTCTAATGATGGAAAAGACATTGCATACCCTTGAGGATGAACAAATGAACTTTTTTTCATCATTTGTGGAATTTTGGGGGAAATTATCATCTGATCCTTTTGACTCATCCAGTGTTCCTAAATTTCATAACCTTCCATCCCTCATCGAGAATATTCTGAATATAAGTATTTTGTGGGTAAATAATTTACAAAGCTTGGAGAGAGATCCATCTGTTGTTGGTGCTCAGAAACTTTTGGAATTTGGCAGAGATGTGACTGGAAAAGTGCAAACTCTTGAAAGTCGCTGGGTAATGAATAAATCAAATATTTTGAGATTAATGGAATCAATGCTTTTTGAAATTAATCCCAAACTACTAGAATTATGGCTTTCTGACATTTCAGAAGGAGAAAGAGCTAAATTGAAAAACCTGTCTACGCTTTTTCATTTTTCTGTTCCAGAAAACAAGATTCTTACTGAAAGTTTTAACTTTTCCCAGTTGTTCCATTCAGATTGGCCTAAATCACCAACTGTGAACGCAGATTTTATACATTTAAGTGAAACTATAATAAGTAGTCTTTATGAGTTTAGACTTCTGAAGCAGGAACAAGTCTCAGAAGCTTTGGACACAGTCTATGCTATAAGCAACGTATCTGATCTTTTTTCATCCCTTTCTGAACCTCAAAAACAAGAAGTTGATAAAATTTTGACTCATATATACCTAAATGTCTTCAAGGACAAGGATTCAACTTTACTTCTGCAAATGTATTCTTCATTTTACCAATATATTTATGAATTCGTGAACATTCAAAGTAGACGGTCTTTACTAACTTTCCTTACACAAATCTCAAAACACATTTTGGATATTATAAAGCAATTTAATTTCCAAAACACCCGTAAAGCATTTGCATTTTTATCTGAGACAGCAGAGGTTCTTGGGGGAATTTCTAACATGTCTTATTGTCAGCAATTGCTTTCAGTCTTTAACTTTTTGGAGCATCAAGCCCTATACCTGACCTCTACAGAGGGCCAAGAACTGGAAGTGATTCATGAAACTTTGACAGGCCTCAAACAGCTGCTTACAGTAGATGAAGATTTTCGCATTTCTTTATTTCAATATATGAGTCAACTCTTCAATGTCTCAGTCGAAGCGCTGTTGGATAAGGAATGCTCTGTTTTGGATAATAAACACATTTCTTCTGTGAATTATTCAACAGATGAGGGAATTACATTTATTCTTCCATGGGCACGAATTTTTTCAAATCTCTCAGCAAATGTCAGTATATCCAAAGAATTTATGGCCATTCATTGTACCATTTCATGGCTTCAAATGTGGACTGAAATCTGTGGAAGCATATCTCAAATATTTCAGTTTGATAGGAATATTTTCACTTCTCTTCATGTTGGTCTCAGTCAGCTTTTGACTGAGTTGGAAAACGATGTGAAAACTTCTAAAAGCTGCCAGGGAATTTTTCCCACCCATCATGTTGCTAGACTCATATTAAATTTGTTTGAAAATGTAACTCAAGCCAGTGACTTTCATGATTGGGATGACTTCCTGGATCTCAGGGACCTTTTAGTAGCATTAGGAAATGTATTCATTACAGCGAAATCACTTAACCTGAAGCAAGTGGAAAAATCCCTTTTCACCATGGAAAACACTCTGCATCAGCTGAAGACATTTTCACTAAACACAAATACAAGCAGAAAGTTTTTAAATTATCTGCTTGAAGTTATCATTGAGTCCAGCAATACCTCAGAGTATATGGGTAGAAATGTAGATTTAATAAATCACTTTCTTTTGAATAATCTTACAAATTATGGATCAAAATTTGAAAGCATCATCTCTGAGCTAAGAGAAACAGTATTATTTCTTAGAAATATGTCACATAATCAAAATTTGTTGTCCTGTGTTGATATTTTTCACAACTTTACTGAGCTTATTTTAGAAGATGGCTTATATGTAAACACCTCACAGAGTACACTACGTATTTTGGCCATGTTAAATTCCACATTTTCCTCTGAGAACACAGGTAGCATATTGAAAGAATGCATTGCATGCGTAGATGTCATAAACCATCTGTATGTGATGTATAACTCAAGTCTTTCACAAAGTCATCTTCAGAGTATTTGGGGAAGTTTCAGAGATGTAGAAAACAAAATGAACTCTATATTGAAAATTGTAATTTGGGTATTAAATATAAAGGAACCTTTTTGTTCACTGAATGAGTCAAATACAAATTGTGTAAATGTTTACTTGAAAGATGTAACTGACTTTCTAAATATTGTACTTACTACAATCTTTGAAAAAGAAAAGGTACCAAAATTTGAGATTTTATTAGCCCTTTTAAATGATTCCACAAAGCAAGTAAGAATGATTATCAACAACTTAACAAGTGGCTTTGATTTTGCATCTCAACTTAACTGGAAACATTTTACTGAATTAATTCTAAGACCCATAGAAACGTCAGATGAAATTCCTGACCAGTTTCAAAATATTTGGCTGTATTTAATAGCACTGGGAAAAGAATTTCAGAAACTTGTAAAAGATATTTCCCCTAACGTCTTAAAAAACAATTCCTCTTCTAAAACTGAAAAGTCTTTTAGTATATTTACCACTAGCCCAAAGGAAAAGGATGTAAACAGTTTAGGCAGGTCAATTTATTATTTAGCACGTTACCTTACCCTCAATTTACCTCATGATCTCCAAAACTCACCAGAAATAATTCTGCGTGAAACAATGAAAGCTGGGAGTCTTGGTATTCAACTGCTTAGAGATGTGTTCAACTCCTTAATGCCTCAAGTTTATCACAACATTTCACAAGATGCAGGTCATACTCAAGTTTTGAAGAAGGTCATTTCTCTCATGCATACTTTCAAGAAGGCTGATGTAGACCTTTTAGTACATCAGGTTGAACAGCTTAGTGCAAGCCTAATAGATTTCTTTAATAATATCAGTAGAGTAGACACTGGCAACTTAGGGGTCAACTTGTTTGTTGGCTTGATGGAGAAATTTGTAGACAGCTCACGTTCTTGGAATGTCAATCACCTGCTGCGGCTCTCGCAGCTGTTTCCTAAAGAGGATATGGACACTGTGGTGGATTTGTACTATGTGCTTCCTCATGCTGTAAGGCTCATGCAGAGAGTGCTTGAAACAAACATCACTGAAGGCCTCAGGGATGTCTACGACTTCACACTCTTTCATGGCATAAGGATTTCAAAGGTCACCAAGGAAGACTTTGCTGTCATGATAAAAACTCTTTTGGATATCATCGCATTATTATCAGACAAACCAGGTGTTGTTTCAGAGGCTTTAACTTGCCTTCCTGTGATTTGGTGCTGGAATCATACAACTTCTGGATTTCAGGAGAATCCAGCATTAGGGGTCTGTAGTGTCCGTGGGCTCATGTCGTCTTCCTTTTATAGCAAAGTGGCCATTATACTTAACCACCTCCACCTGACTCCCCCAGGTGACACTTCACAATGTTCCAATGAAAGCTCCCAAATGAAAATAACTAGGAAAGTTGTCTGTGTAATTCACGAATTAGTGGACTGGACTACGATTCTTCTAGAGCTGTCTGAAGTCTTTCACATGAAAACTGCACTTGTGAAAACTGTGCGAGAATTTTGGCACAAGATATTACCATTTGTTCTACCTTCTGGAAATCAAAGTAATGACAACGTCACTGAACTTTGTCCTAGTGGTCCCATTAAGCAAGTTGCCTTGAAAATCATAGAAGAACTAAAAAAATTCAATGTCAATTTTACAAACGTTATATCAGGTGAAAATGTTCTTGACAAACTAGCTAGCTTAAACAACATCTTTAACATTGATGAAGGTACAGAGACATCTATTCAAAATACTATTTTCTTAAATTTGGAAAGAATAATAAAACTGATTTCTGGAAATTGGAGCCTAGAAAATAGTACTCATCATCTATTTTCTTCACTCATGATGATTCTTAATGCAAATCTCACAGAGAGTAGTGTAGAGGGAAAAAGCGAAGCAACTTACAACTTTGAAAAACTGTGGCTTGAGTTTGAACAAACCTCCAAAGACCCAACCCATGACATTAGAAGTGGGCACCTATTCTCTAAGATGAACAAAGAAATCCAAAGTGTAAATTCAGTGACTCTTCAAAACATAACTTTGGAACTTGCCCATTTTCTGGAAATCCTGGATTCATCATCATTGAAAACATTAGAAGTTATCGAAAATTTTCTATTCGTCTCCCAAAACTGGCTCCATGAAAATGCAAATGATGATTACTCCAATATGATACAAACATTATTTGTTCATATGGCCAATGAGACTTCAACTGATGATATAGTTTTGCTGATTAAAAATATTACTACCTTTTTGAGCTCTCTAAAACACATTTTTAGAGAAGGTGTGTGGGATGTTGCCTTTCTTACTCATCTGCTAAATCAAGAACAGCTAACTAATTTCTCAGTTGTTCAGTTGCTTTTTGAAAGCATCCTAATTAACTCCATCAATAACTTAGCTGGCAGTGCTCAAGAAGCAGCTCCAAATTTAAGTGATCCTGACCTTCAAATAATGAATTTCATTAGCCTCACCTTGAACCATATGCAGTCAGAAACTGGTGGGAAAACAACGCTCCCTCTAAGAAGTGTAGTGGATTTCACAGAACAGCTTTTGAAAACATTCTTCTCCCTTTTATCAAAGGAAAAATCTGAGAACAAAATATCTCTTCTACTAAAAAACTTCCACAAAGATCTTATTACAGAGATGAGGTAAGTCTACTTTTACTTTATGTTGTACATGCAGATGTGATATATCTCAAGCCACTCTATTTTCTGGAGTATAGATGTGTCAATAATAGCACTTGTACCTACTGACACCTTTGAAAGATCTTTGAAGTAAATTTGTTTTAACATTTTATCAAAATGTCAAGTTACATAATAATTTTGATTGCTGTCATCTCAATAGTAAACATATAAGCCTAGCCCATGATAATTAATCACATATTATTTATTCTTCCATTTGTTTAGATCATGAAAATAATTATTCTATTTTATATAAATTTGAAAAGTTAGTTTTTCTAGCTGTACATGCATATACGGCATGGTCATAATTTGAACTGTTGGGTTTACTGTCCATTCACAAATTAGGGGGTTAAACCTCATTATAACTTTTTATTTAAAATTATCTTTTTCATATATCTTTAAAAATTTGTTTTGAAGCTTGCCAGTGAAAAGGCTGGAGGAAAATTCCAGTTTTCTGTAATGTCTGTTTCAGTCAGGGCTCAACCACGGGAACCAGAACCTGAATAAGAATTTAATTCAAGGAATTGGCTTGCCAGAATACTGGGACTGGCTAAGCAAGTCTGATATCAGTAGGGCAGACTGATAAGTTGGGAAGACCACAGCAGGGCAGGGACAACATGGACATAAGCTGAAGCTCATTGTCCATAGGTGGTGAAGAAGGAAGACCTGGGGAACGGGAGAGATGTTGCATCCTTGGCTGTTTCTGGAGTTTTAGGTTAGGGAATTCCTAAGCCTTTTAAAGCCTTCCATCTGATTACCCATCCCTTCTGACCAGCTTAACTGCTCAGGGACTTTAACCATATCTGCTAAATTCCTTCTCAGCAGCACTGAAATTAGTGGTCCATTGAATAGTCACTATTCAATGAGGTGTATTTATACTACAACATGACCACTTACTTCTGTCTATTCTCCATCTCTCATGAGGAAATCTCCCCTGTAGACCACCCAGACCATACACTTGCAAGAAAGGGCCTTCCAGAGATATCATTCAGCTCAACCAAGCTGACACATTATAAAGCCATCACAGTGTATAAGTGATTTGCTGTGCTTCTAAAATTAAGAAAAATAGAAATATGCTTACCACTTTCAGAGATTTAGTTCTTACATTGAGAATTACTGTGTAGTCTTTTCACGCTCTTTTCTAAAAGCAAAATACTTTTTAAGTTTCTAGTTTTGAGAAATTGTAATGGAATTATATATGAGATTCCTCCACTCTTTCCATTATTTGGCAACAAAATATTAAGTTTCATCTGGAATTATGTTAGCATGTCATCTTCCACTCAGTATTATCCTCCCTTGATGTTGTTATAAAACAAAATTACTATATTTTAATCTTTCCATTGATAATACATTAAAAGTGATATTTAAAGAAATATGTATATATTTACAGTTTTGTGCCAAAAGATAAAATTCTAAAAATTCTAAAACTGGATCAATTTCTTACCTCGATGAAAGAAGACAGATTGATGAACATTTTCTCAAGTTTAAAGGACACTACATACCGTATATATCATCTAATCAAAAGCTCATTTATATTAAACAATGGAGAATTTTATTTTGATAGTCATCAAGCACTGGAGTTCATAAAAGATTTATTTAATGTCCTCAGGGAAACCTCAATGGAAAATAAGACTGAAAACAATTTGGACTTTTTCATAGCAGTGAGTCAGTTGCTATTCCACGTGAACAGTTCTGAGTACTTCTTCAAGCTCAATCAGGATCTTGGGTCAGCTCTTCGCCTTGTGAGAGAATGTTCAACAGAGATAACAAGTCTTATGGATACTCTTTTAAACTCTCCTTATAAGGACTTCTATACCTCATATCCTACCCTCCAAGAAGTTATACTTGCTAATCTAACTGACTTGCTTTCCTTTATAAATAATTCATCCCTTCTAAGAAACAGAACAACATTAGAAATTACTAAGAGATTACTTGGTGTTATTTCAAGAGCTGGCGAAGAAAGTTGTGTCCCAGAACCTCTTTTAGAAGTTTCTAGGACTCTGGACATGTTTTTGAATGACAGTACAGACCTGGGAGATCTCGCCACATCTGTGGACTCCACTGTGAAACTTCTTAAGCTGGCCAAGAAGGTTTCAGAGAAGATCGCCACAATTTTTGAAACTCACTTCATCTCCAATACCAAGGACACTATGAAATTTTTTGACACCCTCTATTCCATCATGCAACAAAGTGTTCAACATCTTGTGAAAGAAATAGCTACTTTGAAAAAAGTAGATTCTTTCCCATTAGAAAAGATAAATGACTTGCTGATGCCATTTCTTGACTTGGCCTTTGGAATGATTGGGGTCAAACCTTATATATCACAGGAGTCTGATATTTTCACTATGTCACCTAGCATACTCTCATATGTGAACCAATCTGAAGAATTTTCTGATACTTTGGAAGAAATTGCAGAATTTTTAACATCTGTGAAAATTAACTTGGGAGATGTGGAGAATCTTGTGGTAGTAGTTAGTAATGAGACTCAAATATTTTCTACGGATTCTGTCAGTTTATGGGAAGAAATTCTGGATTGCTTAGTTCCTATAAATAACATCACCAACCAAATGGACTTCTTATATCCTAACCCAATTTCTACTCATAGTTGCCCTCAAGATACAAAATGGGAAATAATTCATAAAGTGATCCTGCTTTTGGATAAAATTTCATTACAAAACGGCACAGAAATAGGGTCTTACTTGAATAGAGTGATTGATCTCACCTTAGAAGGTCTTTGGAATAACTTACAGAAGGATAATTGGAATATTTTTAATCTGTTGCTGACATTTACTCAGCATCCAAATAACCTTTTGAAAACCATAGAAACAGTTTTAGAGGACTCCAGTGGAATTAAAAGTGACTCGAGAGGTGATTTGAGTAAAAGTTTATTTTTTGACACATCTTTGATTCTGAATAAAACTCATCATCAGCTTGAAAAAGCAATCCAGATTGTTTTAAGTAAAATAGCTTTCTGGAGGAAAGGTCTCCTTCCACACCACTCTCGGTGGATAAATTCCACAAGAACTTTGCTTCAGCCAGTTTTTGAGATTTTTGTTAATTCAACCACTGAGAAGAATGTCATGTCAGAAAAAGAAAAGAGGAACAAAAAGGAGATGATTGATTTTTCTTGTAGCTTCAAGCCGTTGTCATGTTTCAAGAAATACCTGAGGGGATTATTTGTATTGACTAAATACTGGCGAAAAACCTCACTAACAGATCAAAGGTAATAAAACACCTAATTTACTTCATCTTTCTCCTTACTGCAGTAAATATAAAATAGAACCATGCAGGAATTACATTGAACCAGGGTAAGTAGTTCTTCTCGACTTAAACTTCTATTTTATTTTAAAGTTGGCTTCAACATATTATCATTCAAGTCCAGTTTTTTTTCCACTGACTCATTTGACATTCAAGTGTGATTTGAGCTTATTCAAAATATTTCAAAAGTAAATTATTTTTTCTGGTAAGTAAATGCAAGCATGCTTTTGAAAAATCTGTATACATTTAAGGGATAAAAAGTAAATTTATTTTTAAAGGTAAATGCCTATTCTTCTATTCATTTGTCCAAGACCAGCTGTATAAATAGTTTTTCGATTCACATTCTCTGGCAACCAGGCGTTCTGCTACTTGCTGAATAGGCAAGAATATGAAGCCACTTGCCTCTCGTAGGAAACTGTGCTTCCGGTTGTGGCTAACCACAGGGAAGGTCCAGGCGACTGTTGGCTTCTGCTCTCTTGAGATTCAGCTCAACTCCACATGATTGAGCTGCCTCTAAGCCCTTCAAACCCTGACTCTTAGGTCAGTGGAGGCCTGTTTTTTACGAGCTCTGGTTCTGCTGGTTGTCACATGCTGAATGATGTCTGTTGTCTCAGGTTGGAGGACTTGTGTCTCTTGGTATGCAGGGATGCTGCATCTGCCTCTACTTATTCTTTCTTGATGTGACAATTCTTTTTGGATGGACGGTCAATGGTCCCTGCCTGTACTCCCTTTTTCTAAGTCTCACATGGAGATTAGTACATCCGAACCCTCATTTATTTGCCAGACAAGCTGATCTATTTTCTGTTAGTTCTGTTAGCTACAGAGCTGCACTTTAAATCTATTTTTTGTTTTTGACTCGGAGTCTTACTCTATTGCCCAGGCTGGAGTGCAGTGGCATGATCAGGGCAACCACAGCCGCAACCTGCTAAGCTCAGGTAATCCTTCCTCCTCAGTCTCCCAAGTGGCTGTGACTACAGGCTCACACCACCATGCCTGGCAGTTTTTTGATTTATTGTAGAGACAAGGTTTTGCCATGTTGCCCAGGCTGGTCTTGAACTCCTGGGCTCGGGCATTCCTCTCTTTTAAGCCTCCCAAAAAGCTGGGATTACAGGCTTGTGCCACCACACCTAGCAAGTCTATTTGTTAATAGCTTGGATATATGTTCTTACTCAGTGAAACGGTGTCCATTGGCACAAAGAAATATCACTACCTTAAAAATTGGAATGCTAGCTCTCAGAAAGTCCTGCTTCATCTCTTCGTTGTCTCTGGGAGTAAACTATACTCCCGCTTTAGTGCTCTGCTCTGAATTTTCTTCTATTTAGAAATAGTCCTGGCAACCCCTGTCCTCCACCAATTTCAAATTTTATTTGCATGTTTCCGGTTCTCCACAGAGGGTATTTATACCAGAGGTGACACACTATCATGTTTTAATATCCGTTTATAATTTACCTGTGCATTTCAAGAGAATGGACCAAGACTGGAGGAGAAAACAAATAACAAGTTTATTGGCAACAAATTGATTATTTGATGGAAGGTTGGAGGCCTGAAGTTTTCTGGGGGTTCAGACTGTGCTATCTGTGTTTTCTTTTATTCCTGTGAAGGAAATATGATTGTGCAAGGAGGATAGTATATGGTTGTTATGATTTAGCTTCTACACAGTAGAGATACACGTGGGTTGCAGATTTTTACCATTCATGCCATGTCTATTTATTTTCAAAGTGTTTTTGAAGTATGTCAAGTTTTCCGGCAGCCTGTGAAGCTCTCGGGAACCACTGAGTTGCTGCAGAAAGTGAAGATGGTGGTTTTGCATATGCTTGTCATCTTTGCAGGTGGGCTGCTTATATGAATGCTCCACAATTGCCCTGTGCCAGTTTTCAGGGCTTGACTGTCAGAAAGACCAGTGGATTGCCCCTGAGTTTCTTTTTAGAACAAGTCACAGCCTTCTTAGCCTGGCTGCTGGGCTCTTAGGAACCTGGCCACCCTCTCCAACCTTCGTCCCCATCCAGGGGCCTCTGCTCAAGCCAAACTGGACAGCCCGCTCCTGCCCTGTGCTGGGCTTTCTGGTCTCTGTGTCCTTCCTCATGGAATGGGTTTCCCCTGTCTCCTTGACCTAAACTCCAGCTACTCCGTGGCCCAGACCTGGGGCTCAGAAGGACTGCCCCCAACTCCTTTGCTGATAAGGCCTTCAAGAAGACTTCTATTAAGTGCAATATGGCACTTTGCTCCCCTATTTCCTATATCTTCCTCCTCTGTGAGAGTCAATGTTTCTTGAAGGCAGGAACCATATCATAATCCTCTCTGTACATCCAATGCCTGGCATGAAAGATGCATTCTCTGATGGGTGTTGAGGGACCCATGCAGTAACTTGAGTTTCTTACAACCCTGGCACTATCACTTACATTTTAGTTTTTGGTACTTCCTTTTCCTTCAGTAGTCTGTAAACTCACTGAAAACAGGATTACTTATTAAATTTTGCATCTCCGCAATGCTCAGCAAAGTGTTCCATAATAGTGAGCGAATATGGTGTACATGGATTAATTTGTCTACTAAGATCATACTTGCCAAATGTATTACTGCACATTTCGGGGAAATCTCCTTCTAATGCCACTGTTGAGGGAGCTTACCATGATCTGCCTCAGAGGGTGACTAGATTATCTCAGGACTGACCCTAATGTGTGAGCATTAGGTTTTAGAGCACATCTGAGTCTGTGGAATGGACAGCCGCTGTTTAAGTAACTCACACATGCACACATGCTGCGGCCTGCCTACGGTCGTCTCCTAAATGGGGTTGCACAGAGCCCTCTCAGGGGGCTGTTGGGTCTGAGGGCTCTGAGTCACCTAGTGGCAGTGGATTCTGGTGAGATGAATCTGAGCCCAGAAGAGGAGGGCCAGAGCGGAGAGATGGGGCAGCCAAGGATGGATCCGACCAGGCCAAAAGGAAAAGCGAGAAGAGAGAGGTCAACTGAGTGGGCCATAGCTCCACTGTGGCTGGCCCTGGACCCCTATTCCCCAACTTACCTGATACCACATGTCTACTCTCCTACCTTTTCCCAGTTTGTTACTATTATTCATCCTTAGATCACTATTGGATTATTATATTGTTATTTTGAGATTCGGTGTTACTTCCTCTGGAAGGTTTGTATTGACCTACCCTGTCTTGGGCCCCTCCCCACAGCAGGCTGACCTCCAGTGATGGTTCTTACCACCACGTGCTGTTTTGATGCTAAATGTGTGTCTCTTCCTCAGTTGTGAGGACTGTGCCTGTTGTTGATCATTATAAACCCAGCATATGGGGAATAGAATGTGGTAAATGCTGTTTGATGGTTGTTGACTGCATGAATAAATGCCAGGAGCTCTTATGTGCTCTTATCTCAGTCCACTGGAATTCCTGAACTTACAATCTGCTTGTGTGGAGTGTTCAGCTGTAGGAGGCGGTGGATAAGTCAGCTAAGTGCTCTGTGCCCACTTTTTGCTATTGAGCAAACAATGGGGGGGGGGGGGGGTTGGGGAGGATGTAGAAGAAGGATCTGGCTTACCCAGGAGAGGCACAGTGGATGCACTTCCAAAGTCTACCATCAGGGAAGAAAGATTACTGGCCCCAGGAGAGGTTAACTGGTGCATATGGGCTGCTGAGGCTAGGAGCCAGGAGTGCAGACCAGTGTCTACCAGCGAAAGGGAGGAGAAGTGTGCCTTGGACAGAACCACCAGCAGGTCACACCCTTTTTTCAAAACAAAAACAAATAAGATAGATTCTGGTAAGGATAAGCATTAGGAAGAAACTAAAACAGGATGAGGTAGGTGAGAGTAAGATGTAAAGGAGAGGAGATCCTGGGGGCTCAGTTCTGGGTGGGGACATTTCAGGTGATACCTGAGTGGTGAGGATATGTGTCTGTGGTGTCCATTTGTTATATCCCCCTGGGGTCTAGAAAGCATCCTGACACAGACATGATAGGCAGTCAGTGAACGTATGTAGAAGGATTGGATGGATCAATGAGTGAGGGCTGGCACTAAGTTAGGCACTTGTCCCTGTGGGTGAATTCAGGCAACTACCAGTGGGGTTCCGGTCAATGTGCTAGGCCTCATGGTCTGCAAGCCACCAATCGGCAATGAGACAGATCACTCAGGGCTATGCAGTGTCATGTCTGGATGAGGCTTCTTTATTGTCTCCAAACGTCTTCAGGTACAGAATCAAAGTTGACTCTTAAGATAAGTCATGTCATGACAAGTGGTATAATGGAAGGAACAGGTGCTTTGAGACGAACAGTTTGAGTTTGACATGTCGCATTGAGTGACACAGGGCAGCCACCCCCAGTCTCTGTGAGCCTTGAACAAAGAGGAGGCGCCAGGCACATGCTAGTTCTCCTCTCCTGGTGACAGTGCAAACTGAAGATGAGTCTCCTTGCATATGCCATTGGATAAACCACTTCTCAGTTTACAAAAAGCTGGTTTACAAGTGGAAACTGGTAATTTAGGGACTGTCTATTGCAGGATTAGTTCTAATCTGCTCACTCACCTCTTTTTTTTGTGAAACAAACATTGAGCTGGACCAAAGAATTGATTAATCATGGAGTCTAAGGAATCTGAAAAAGGAATGAAGAACAGAGGTAGGAAGCAAGACAACATTGATGTAAATGAAACCCCAATTGTCATGTAGGAGTTTTGCATAGGTCTTTATTAAAACGACATTTAAAAAAGACAGTTAAACATCTAATTAGATGTTAGGAACATTGGCAGTATTGTCCAATATAAAGTGATAATGCATTATATATCTGAGTACATGTTTAGGATGGTCAATAAATGATTTCAGCATGTGGGGACATGCTCAGGTAAAATTTGAATCTAGCTTATTTCTGGTTCCTGAATGCTTATCTGGCATATTGAATTCAGCCATGTTTGAAGACATAATTATTTTGACATTTTGCAGTCAGCTAATGTAATGGCTTTTAAATGAATTAAACATTCATTAATGCCTGAATTTATATTTATTTTGCCATTCTGTATTGCAGCTGCTAAATTAATATAGCATACTTGAAATCACATTAGTAACAGAAAATTAATTTTTGTATTTTATTTCAAGGATACTCAAGCATGACTAACCTTTAAACTGCTGCCCCACTGTTCTTATGGAGCTGTGGCTCCATTATATGGACTAGGAGGGCAGTGAAGATCCGGAAAAGGTAGAAGGGCACCCAACAAAGATTTGGGTGGGAATGGGCCAAAATGGACAATTGACGCCTCTTCTATCATACAAAGGAAATAGCAGTCAGATGTGCAGTTATTGCTAATGAAAATGAAGTAGTTTTCTGCCACATCACCAAATTGAGTTTGGTATCTCCACGAGGGAATTTGTCATTTTCCTCCTCCTGATCTAACGCTTTAAAAACGCCAACGACAATTGCATGAGAACCCAGTAGGTACATGAAAGAGAAGAAACCTCAGTGGGCATTTACTTTAATCTTTAGTTTCACAGTCTGGCAGATAGAGGCCCAGAGAATGTGAGCAAGACTCCAGGGTTTTGGAGTGAAGAAGTCAGAGCTCACTCAACCCTCTCCAGCTGAAAAGACCTGAGGGATCTGTAGGGCTAGAGAGTAATGTGGAGGGTCCAGAGAGAGCTGGCATGTCTGGAAAGCCAGAGTGGGTATCTGAATGTGCCCTCAAAGCCAAAAGAGGGACTCCACAGCAGGTAGGAAGGGCTGGAATCAGGGATTTGAAGAAGCGATGCAAAGTGGAGAAAGGGGATTGGGGGAAGTGGGTGGAGCCAAGGGTTGAAACAGGCTCTTGTTGGTGTCAAGACACATGTGAAGTATCCTTGAGGGTGGTGTCTTTGAAGGTGGCTGCAAGATAGTGTCACATGCAAGGGAAGGAGGAGGCCAGATGGCCTGACAGCCCAGCACTGCTTCCAGTGACCATATCACCCATGATCTAACCTTGCAGAAATGCCTGCTGTGTCACTGTCTATTCCACATCATCATATTATACTGGGGAAACAAGGGGCTGACACAGTCCTTGACTTGCCTAATGTCACATAATGTCAGCTTTTTCATGGTACACTCTCCTTTCTTTAAGGTCTATACAGCATAATTATTGTGTCTTCCCCAAAGCAGAGGGTCCATTTATGTTTAAAGATAAATGCTGTAATGTTTAACAGCACTTTGCTACCTTCTTTTCACATTTTAATAAGAGATTACTTAAGAGACACATTTTGCATTTTCTACAATAAAGAGAGCTGTCTTCAAACATCAGTAAAATAAGACCAGGCATGGTGGCTCATGCCTATAGTCCTAGCACTTTTGGAGGCCAAGGTGAGAGAATCGCTTGAGCCCAGGAGTTTGAGACTAGCCTGGGCAACATAGCAGGACCTTGTCTCTACAAAAAACCAAATGTGGGTTGAGGGTAGTGACACACACCTATAATACCACCTACTCAGGAGGCTGAGGTGGGAGGATTGCTTGAGACTAGGCATTCGAGACTGCGGTGAGCTGTGATCATGCCATTGCTTTCCAGTCTGGGTGACAGAGTGAGACCCCAACTCAGAAAAAAATAATCAGTAAAATAAGATTCGTGAGAAAAGAAAAACAAGACAGCAAGGTGGAATGCTTCTGGAAAGCATGACTTTGGGTATATTATGTCTACTCTGCATTGTATATTGTTGAAAACTGGTTCTTTAAAAAATTAATAAACCTTACTTTCTAGAGCAGTTTTAGGTTCACAGAAAAATTGGACGGAAGGTACAGGTGTTCCCCATGTATATCTGCCCCCTCCACAACCTCCCTTGTTATCAACATCCTCCAGAATGATATGTTTGTTGCAGTTGATGAACCGATATTGGCACTTCATTATCACTCAGGGTCCGTAGTTGACACTGAGGTTCAATCTGGTGTTGTACATTCTATGACTTAGAATGAGTGTGTAATGGTGTATGTATGTCTACCATTATAGTATCATATGCATAGTTTCACTGCCCTGAAATTCCTCTGTGCTCTGTCTATCCATACCTCCCAATCCCCTAGCCCCTGGCAACTACTAATTTTTTATCTCGATAGTTTTATCTTTCCCAGAATGTCGGAAAGTTGAAACCATACAGTATGCAGCTTTTTCAGAAGGGGTTCTTCTGCTTAGTAACACACCAAAACTGTTTTAGAAAATGATTTTAGGCTGAGTGTGGTGGCTTACGCCTGTCATTCCCATACTTGGGGAGGCCAAGGCCGGACAATAACCTGAGCCCAGGAGCTTGAGGCCAGCTTAGGCAACATAGCAAAAATCTCATCTCTAAAATAAAAATAAAAATTAAAATTAAAATGATCAGCCTGGAATAGTGGTGCGCTCCTGGAATCCTACTTATTTGGGAGGCTGAAGTGGGAGGATCTCCTGAGCCCAGAAGGTTGCGGCTGTGGTGAGCTGTGATCATGCCACTGTACTCCGGCCTGGGTGACAGAATTAGACCCCAACTCAAATAAATACATAAATAAATAAGTTTTGAGAAATGATGTAAAACTTTGAGTCAGTATTGATTTCTTTCTTGAATTAAAAAAAATAAAAGATTTTATTTCTCATAAAAATGCATTTTATGTTCTGTCATCACCAAGTACCTAGAAGGTACAAAGCCAGGTGCCACCATGTGCCAGGTGCCACCATGACAGGAAGGCAGAGGTGAGGAGATCTTCACATGGGATCTTGTGCTGAGGGTTTCCATGCCACTGATCACATGCAGTGGAGCAAGTGCCCAGGCACCTGCATAGCCGGGAGCAGAGAGGCCCTGGTCAGGCTGGGGGAGAGGAGGGCATTGTGGGCAGAGCTCTGAAAGGGAGGTAGGTTCAAGAAGGGGCAATGGTGCCTTGCAGCTGATGGCCTTGAGCGAACTGGAGGGATGGAGGGCATGAGTGCCGGGGATGGAGGTGGCCTGTGGCCCAAAAGGGCTTTGAATGCAACACAGCACCTTTGGGTAGATTCTTGTTCCCTGATGATCTCCTCTGAAGAAAAGCCCTGTGGCTAGGAGCTCTGTAGCTCTTTAGGAAGAGTTCTGTGGCTCAGTGTGGAAGAGGGTTGGAGGGATGAGATAAGACAAGAGAGTACCTGTTAGGAGCCTGGCAATCTCCTGGGTGTGACCTGGATGGACACTGGACCAAGGTGTGAATCAAGAACCGCTGGGAGGCCTAGCTAAGTGGTGGGGAGAGGGGTTGGCTGTGAGGACCAGGTGGAGGGGAGTCACGGATGGCTGCCAGGGATAGGTGGCATGTGAGGCATGGGGGACGGAGAAGACCTTAGATGGACTGTGTGTGCCATTCACCCTTCAGACTGGGTCACTGTTGAGAACAGCAGAGGACACTCACTGTTCATAACCATGCCAGGACAATAGGAGAAAACCAAGCCTGTTCTGGGCAAATGGGGTGAAGGGACACTCCATCTACGGGGATACAGGAGGGGGAGACCAGTGTGGGGAGGCAGAGGAAATTAATTTATATGAAGTCAGGCCAATTAGAAAAACAGGGTCTTTCTTTAATTATATTTGAAACACCAAAGGCACAGCTTTGCTCTCTTCATCTGATGTTCATCTTGGTAATTTAAGCAATTGTAAGGAATCTGTATCCTTTTGAATCTTTAAAGAGTGATTTTTGTAAGAGTGGTGAGTTTGGAAGAGGACCGTTTACTGATTATTTTTCTCTGTATTTCTTCTGGCAGAAAATCCCTCCTTGACCAAGGAAATTTTGTGTGCCACTCTGACTTGCAAGCAAGGTGGGATGAGGCATCTCATGTTATCTGCTATCCAAGGGGTCACTCTGGCACTTGACCACTACCAGGTTTGTCATATTTTATATTTCAGAGAATTTCATTACTATTGGTCCTGGTAAGGCAGTTGAGTTGCTTAGGCTTGCACAGCAACTATGTCCTATGTAGTCACTGGAAGTTGATCTTACAGGGTGCGTGCTCACCCTTCCTCCCACTTGGCATCTCCTAGTGGTGTGCTGGGGTTGACTGGCACTAAGTTGTGAAAGCTGGCTGTTAAATTTTCAGAAATTTTGTAAACTGTTAAACACAGACATCACGATACATCAAATTAGGTTAGATTTTGACAAAATAAATCACATGAAAAACAAAAGCCATGATAATTCAGGACCCATCATTTCCTAATTACCTTAGTGTGTCTCACTATTATCTATCCTCCGGAGCTTATCTGCATCTGTTGAATCCACATAATAGAACTACTGTATAGTTGTGTGCTTCCGTATATAGCTCTTCCCAACCCTGTGTTCAGGGATGTCACACTGGCCACTTGAACTAGGACATGTGGGAGCATTTACACCCCAGAAATGGGCAAGTACTATAAATCAGATACGTTTTTCTCTTGGAAAATTAATTTTTAAATGTTTAGCAGCCCATCACTAGCTCTAATTTATTGAATACACTTATCAGTACCAAAACCTAATGGTTGGATAGGAATGGTATAGACTTTTAAAAAAATATATTAAGTTGGACAGGTGCCCAATAGGCTTTCATACAGGATCTTCAGTTAAAGTTGGATCAGAACTTTATCTAGGGCTCACTCTCTTGCCCTGGAATTAAAGCCAGACCTGACCTGCTTGAGAAGCTTGGACAATGGTAGTGTTTTTCCAACAATGCAGCAAAGACATGCTTTTCTTCTGGGTCCAGTTCTGAATGTTGTTTCTTGTTTTGCGGTGCAGTAACTCTACCCCATCCTATGTCCAGTGAGCGTGGGCCTGCCACAGAAAGCAGAGAGCCAGACAATTCCGAGGGAGGCCAGAGGTGGCCATGAACTCCTACAGCAGGGATGGTGCGGAAGGCCCCAGCTCTGGAGAAGTGTGAGGAGGGAGGGAGGAAGGGAGGATGGCTGACCACTCACCAGTGTCCTGCGGCCTTTGGAGGAGTGGTGTATGCCAGCAGGAAGCCCTGAGCAATCCCTAGAGATGACTGCCTTTGTGGCCCCAGAAGCTTGTCACATTTATGTTGATTTATTTAGATCACCAAATTCTTTATTTTTATTTTTTTATTTTTTGAGTTGGAGTCTCACTCGCCCAGACTGGAGTGCAGTGGCCGCTCCTGGCCACCGCAGCCTAGACCTGCTGGGCTCTGGCGATCCTTCCACCTCAGCCTTCCAAGTAGCTGGAACTACAGGCGCGTGCTACCACACCTGTCTAATTTTTGATTTATTGTAGAGATGAGGTCTCACCAAGTTGCCCAGGTGGGTCTGGAACCCGTGGACTCAGGCAATCCACTCACCTCAGCCTCCCAAAGGCACGGGATTACAGGCTAAGCCTGTATCATCAAATTCTTATTTCCAGGTTGTGCAGATTTTTGTCAGGTATTAAATGTGGATACAGAAAAAAAAAGCCTCTCAGACAAATTTTGAGTGCTGAGTGAAGGTTGTGGTAATAAAACAGGCAAGAGACGCCAGCTCTCAAAGCAACAGACTCAAAGACCGTATTTATAGTTCAAATTGTTATAGGACTGTCAACAAGTCTGGCTGGTAACAGCTGAGTTACTTTTGATAAAGAGCTGAAGTTCCTGTCTCTGATGACAAAAACAAAAAACTCATCACTTATCTCAGGATGCAAAGCTTTTAGAATGGGTGTGTGGTTTAAGTACATAAGAGTTTTAGAAATATAAATCTTTTCCAGGCTGTGGGATATGAAATGCCCAGCAGAGGTAGGCAAGGGGAACAATGTCAATTTTAGTTTTTCAATATCTCAATACATATTCTAACATGTAGTTTTCTCAGTACTAACACAGAATTCCCATTGGAGATGAAGGTCTCAGCTGACTGAATTGCTGTGATGAAACAGTAGAAAGGAGCAATAAGGAGCTTAATGGAGATCAGAACCTGAATTTCAAAAATGGCAGCAAGTTTCCAGGGCATCTTCTGGGATAAGCTGAACTGGAGAATGCGCCTGGAACTCTAGGTTGAATGGGGACTTCCTACCATCTTCTTACATCTAGACCTGTGGGTCCACATGTATATACTTACCTGCCTAGTTCCTGAGCAGTTCCAGGGCTAACCTACTTGAGAAGGCGAATCTGATGTGTGCTGCCTTTTCCCTATGGCGGTCTTACCCTATCCCAAAAGTATAGCTTGATGAATGCTGACCTCAACATTTGTGCTAGATGCATCTCCTTTCTGGAGCCCGACACGCCTGTGCTGAAGGAGGCTAGAACTTTTCTTCCAGCAGTCCTTGCTCCTGGGGTAGAATGTGCACATTCCTTGATGATCCCCTTTATGTCAAAATTACTATTTTGCTAAATTGAATAATAACATTCTTAGCAGGAATGTTACAAATGCATTGGATGAAGTATAGTTTGCATATAGTTACAATTATAAACTAGAGGTTCTTTCTTTTCTATGAGGGAATGTCTCACAGCAGAGTCCCTGCAGGATGTATTTAATTCAATCTGTGTTCTCAGGAGTGAGTTGGCCTCAAGGGGCACTCACCTCTACCTGTTGTTCTGGCCTGGCTGCGTCTGTGTACTTGTATGCTTTAAAGAGGGATCTCTGCAGAGAGAAGAGATTATTGGGCCTGTGAGATGTTTGGGTGCGAGAATTGGGGAAGTTTTGGAGAGATCCACACTGGAAAAAGCAGAGTGTGAAAGTTGAAGGCCTGTTTATTTAAATAAATGCATAGACTGGGGACTCGGAACTGGACCCAGACATCCCCGCCTTGCAGATGTGCTGCCTGCGTTTGCTTTCATCATTTCCCTTTCTACTTTCCTATGGTGACATTCAGACCATGAGTGGGGTCTGTGCCCCTGTCTTTGGGCACAGTGAGTCAGAAGCAGGAGGACACTGTCTCTAAGGATGGGACAGGCAGTGGAACCTCAAGTGAAGAAAGGAAAGAAGTCTGTGTGTCCTTGAATCCTGGCACAAGATAGATAGGGGAGAGAATGGCCTGGGTTGATCACTCCCTGTCAGAGCCCTGCAGGCAGCAGAGGCCAGCTGGGCATCTGGGCTGCTCCTGCCCGGTCCTCTGACCTCCTTATGGCTAAGTCTCCCGACTCTCCTTCCTGGCACTGAGCACAGCATCCACACAGACTCACCCTTCCCCACCCCTTCTTCACTCAGCCCTCCTCCCCGGGCTTTCTCTAAGCTTCTGCATCCTCACTGACCTTTTTCATTTCCACTCCTGGTTCCTCTATGTGGCAGATGGACCCAGGCTGGCTCCAAAACTTTTTCTTCTCAGTCTATGTTCGCGTGCTGGACAATCACATCCAGATTCATTTGCAGCCTAACAATTCTCGTTACTTCATGACAACTTCCAAATCTTCTCCAGCCAAGACCTCTCTGACCTTTGGGCTTGTATGTTCAGTTGTCTCCTCAGCACCTCCGCTTGGTGCCAAATGGGCCCTTCAACTCAACCCATCTGAAATATAACTCTTGATCTTTCCACCCAATTCCTTCCCCTGGTGTAATTTTCCTCGGATGTTAGGGGCAACAACATCTTTGGCATACTTGTGAATCTTTCTTTATTTCTTGTTAGTTTCTTTTTTTCTTTCTTTTTTTTTATTCTTGTTAGTCTATTTTACCTTCCAAGTGTTCCCAAAGTCTGGCCAAATTCCACCACCTCCCAGCACCTCCCACATGTGTACCTCTATCACATCTCACCTGGATGGTGTGGTAACCTCCCAGCTCTCTCCTTCTCTTTCCCTCTGCTCTGCCCTCAGCCCAGCAACTAGCATGATCCTTCAAAGCATTATCAAATTATGTCACTTCTTTGCTGAGAGTCACACAAAATTTCTCCCAATCTTATTCAGAATAAGTGCCAGAGTCCATGGCAAACTGCATAAGAAACCATGACCCAATTATTTGCTGCATCTAGGAAACTCATCTCACCACAAGGGACGCACACAGACTCAAAGTTAAAGGATGGAAAACGAGTTTCCAGGCAAATGGATCACGAAAGAAGGCAGAAGTTGCCATCTTAATATCAGACAAAACAACGTTTAAGCTATCAAAAATTTAAAAGATACGAAAGGACACTACATAATGATAAAAGGTTCAATCCATCAACAAGGAATAGCCATCCTAAACATATATGTATCCAACACAGGAGCACCCGAATAAGTGCCAGAGTCTTAAGGGAGGTCATGGTGAGGTCCTGCTGTCTGGGTGGTGGTCACCTTGCTCACATCCCTCCTTTGTACTCTCTTTTCCACCTCACTGGCTCCTTTGAACCCTCCTCAGGGCCTTTTCACATGCTGGTCCCTTTGCCTGCAGTGTGCTTCCCTGACAATGCTAAAGAAAGTCTTAAATTTTCCAAAACCTCCAGCTCTGCCTGTCCCCGTCTTATTTTCCTTCACATCACCTGTGATTTGCTGACTGGTTTGCCCCTGCAGCTGTTGGTTGGTTGGCTGTGTTCCTCTTGAAGGTAGGGTCACTTATCTACTGTGTTCACAACTTGCAGCCCACACCTAGCCTGGGCCTGGCACTCAATAAGTATTTTTTGAATGAATGAATGAATGGTCCCCCCAGATTATTTGGGGGAAAATGTATACTTGGAAAGTGAACCACAATAATGAATGAATTAGAGTCAAAAAGTTGCATGTGATGTAATGACTTTGCCTGGCACAATTCTCCCTATGGAGAGATTTTGGAAGTTTGGTGGTAACGATGGTGATGGTAGGGGTGGTGGTGGCAGTGATGGCAGTGGTGACAGTGGTAAGTTTGGGTGTCCTGATCGTGTGTTAATGCTCATTCATTCCTGAGAAATCTCCATTCCCCACCAGACCTTCCTCAGCCTCCAGGCGACACACCTCGGGGCAGCCTCCACTTTGACATTTCCTCAATCTTCATGTTTAACTTTCCTTGGAACATAAATGTGTTAACTCCTTCTGGTCACTTGAATGATTAATAGTTTTCCTTTGCAAGAGAAACTGATGGCAGTTTTGAGAATAATGTTTAGAAGCTTTATTTAGACAGAAATATTATCTAAGTGTTGAACTGCATATAACACCTTCCCATAATTAGCACAACCTGAAATTATGCTTCCAATGTCAACAGGAATTGGGTGATAGAAATAAAATGTGACGAAGTATGTAAATTCTGATGATATGAAATGAATTATTTATGGTAGGATAACTGTGCCCAGGGAATGTGTGTAGATTTCACCTGCGTGTATGTAGACATCCATATAATATGTGTGCTGCTTTTCAAGTTGTTTTAAATTTAAATTATTCATATTTGTCACTTAATTCTACATATGACAAATGTTTTGCATTGTATCATTTTATAGGCATCATTCTTAAAGTTTTTCTTTTCCAACATGATCGGTCTTTTTTAAAAAACTGGTTAATGCTTCTAGGAAGATACTGAGAAGAGGTCTGTGAAATCTTAGAGAAGGACATGGAGATGCCAAAGAGTCAGGGCTTAGTCCTGGGGTGTTTCCATGGGCTCCTCTGAGTTCTAGAGGTTCCTCCAGCTGCAGCAGGGAGAACAAGAACCTTTCAGGCTGCACTGCTGATCTCCTGGTAGAGCAGATCCAGATCCGATCCTCTGTATGTGTGGACAGACACACGATTTCTTTCTAATCACTGGTTTTGTAGCTGTGAATTTTGAAAAGGCTTGATTAAAATTTTTTTATTTTGAAAATTTTTTAGTGTATATGTTTAAGATGTACAACATGATGTTTTGAAAAACATATGCATAATGAAATGGTTGCTACAGTCAAGCAAATGAGCAAAGCCATTATCTCACAGTTATTGTTATTGTGTGTGTGTGTGTGTGTGTGTGTGTGTGTGTGTGCGCGCGCGCGCGTATATGTGATAAAAGCACCTAAAATCTACTCTCCTGGTTAATTTCCAGCATATAATGCAATATTAGTAACTAAAATGCTCACATTATATGTTAGATCTCTAGCCTTATTCATTCCACACAACTGCAACTTTATACCTTTTCTCCAACATCTCTCCTTTCCCCCTACTTTCATCCCCAGTAACCACCATCCTATTCTCTGTTTCTGTAAGTTTGACTACTTTTTAAAAAATTCTTCATATAAGTGGGATCATGCAGTATTTTTTTTTCTATAACCAACTAATTTCATTTGAATGTTTTCTGGCTTCATCCATGTTATTACGAATAGTGTGATTTTCTTTTTTTTTTATGGCTCCGTACTATAGTCATTGTGTGTGTGTGTGTGTGTGTGTCACACTTAAGTTGAACACTTAGGTTCACACTGGATGATCACTTCAGTTGATTCCATATTTTGTGAATAGTGCTGTAGTGAGTACGAGGATGCAGATATCTCTTTGAGATGCAATTTCACTTCCATTTGATTTACATCCAGAAGTAGGATTACTGGATCATGTATTTGTTCTCTCTCTCTCTCTCTCTCTCTCTATGATTAGTGACGTGCTGTACCTTTTCATATACCTCTCTCTATATATATGGTATATAATATATGTATCCTCTATGTATGTAATATATATTATTTATTTTTAGATTAGAGTATACAAGTGCCTGTTTGTTATATGGGCACATAGTGTACTGGTGGGGATTGGACTTCAGGTGGCCCATTTCCCAGACAGTCAACATTGTACTCAACAGGTAACTTCTGAACCCTAAGCTTCTTTTCACCTCCTCTTCTTTTAGTGACCCCAGTGTCTCTTATTTTCATCTTTGTGGCCATTTAGCTCCTGCATATAAGTGAGACCATGCGATGTTTGGTTTTGTGTTTCTGAGTCAGTTTGCTTAGGCTCCAACCATGTTGCTTCAGAAGATGTGATTTTATTCCTTTTATGGCCGCGCTGTCGTCCATGGTGTATATGTGCTACATTTTCTTGGTCCAGTCAATCATCAGTGGGCACTAGATGTGTTTCTTGATTTTGCAGTTGTAGTTCTCCCTGTAGAGATCTTTCACCTTCTTGGTTAAGTGTATTTCTAGGTATTTTATCTTAATTTTTTGTGGTTATTGTAAATGGCATTGAGTTCTTGATTTGGTTCTTGGCTTGAGCTTTATTGGTATGTAGAAATGTTACTGATTTTTATGTGTTGGTTTTATGTCCTGAGACTTTTCTGAAGTTGTTCACCAGACCTAGAAGTCTTTTGGAGGAGACTGCAGGCTTTTTCTCTGTATATAATCATGCTATCAGTGAACAGAGATGGTTTGACTTTCTTCTTGCTGATCTGAATGCATTTTATTTCTTTCTCTTGTTGGATTGCTTTTGCTAGAACTTCCAGTACGATGTTGAATAGAAGTGGTCATTTTTAATATTTTGAGGAGCCTTCTTACTGTTTTCCATAATAGCTGTACCAATTTATATTCCCACCAAAGCATACAAATGTTCCCTTTTCTCCACACCCTCATCAAAACGTATCTCATCTTTTTCATAATAGCCATCCTAACAGATGTGAGGTAGTACCTTATTGAGTTTTGATTTGCATTTTCCTGATGATTAGTGACGTGCTGTACCTTTTCATATACCTGATTGCTGTTTTTATGTCTTCTTTAAAGAAATTTTTATTCAAGCACCTTTGAAGAAATTTTTATTCATGCCTTTTGGCCATTTTAAAAATTGGGTTATTTGATTTTTTGTCATTGAGTTTCATGAGTTCCTGGGAGCTGAGCTCCTGGAAGTTAAGAGCTGAGTCATTCAGTGGAGGCATCGCTTGTTCTCTGCCATGTATTGAGAATATGCTGTCCCGCTATCCAGTTAATGGCAGGGACAAGAGTAAAATCTGGGCTCCCCTAGTTCCCAGCCAAGAGCTCTTTCTACTGCTCTGTAGTGCCCAGAAGCAATTGGACATGATTGTTTGTTCTCTGTTTTTTGAGACAGAAAAAAATAAACTAAAAATCTTACAATGCATGTAATACTGGATGAGAGCATGCATTTATCTGGAAAGTGGATTTAAGCTCACACAGCTTGTGTGTGTGTGTGGGTGTGTGTGTGTGTGTGTGTGTGTGTGTGTTTCTAACCTATATCTTTGCTATGTTTTCCAGGAAATTGAAAACATATGGTCCTCGCCCAATCAACTACATTGTGAAGGCCTTAGCAGGAATCATTCTAGCATCTTGGAAATCTTCACGAGCAGCTTGGAAAATGTCACTGACCAGGACTGCACATGCCAGCCTGTGCTGGAAACCGTGCAGCACCACATACACATGTATGCAGTAACATGGCTCTCATGATTTCCTGGTATTTCTGCTCATAAAGAAGATATCTAACACTTAAGTTGTGAATTTCAGATATGTCTGTATCACATACTCTTTTTTTTTTTTTTTTGAGTTGGAGTCTCACTCTGTTGCCCAGACTGGAGTGCAGTGGCCGCTCCTGGCCACCGCAGCCTCGACCTGCTGGCCTCTAGCAATCCTTCCGCCTCAGCCTTCCGAGTAGCCAGAATTATAGGCGCGCACTACCACACCCGGCTAATTTTTTGATTTTATTGTAGAGTTGAGGTCTCATCTGCCCAGGCGGGTCTCTAACCCGCAGGCTCAGGCAATTCACTCACCTCAGCCTCCCAAAAGTGCGGGATTACAGGCTGAGCCACCGAGCCCAGCTCCACATACTCTTAATAGGCATATGGATACATACTTTTGAAACAGCAATGTTTTCCATGACTACATTTTTAGATAGTAAAATGTAAGAGCAGTGTCAGCCAGAAGGCTAACTTCCATTGGCAATAAGAATATTAGATCTGCTGGGCTCAGTGGCTCAGCCTGTCATTCCAGCACTTTCGGAGGCCAAGGTGAGTGGATTTTCTGAGCCCGTGGGTTCGAGTCCAGCCCAGGTAACTTGGCAAGACCTCGTCTCTACAATAAAAACATAAAAAATAAAAATAAAAAAATTAGGCGTGCATGGTAGCACATGCCTGTAGTTCCGGCTACTTGCAAGGCTGAGGCAGAAGGATTGCCAGAGCCCAGCAGGTTGACACTGGGCTGGCCATGAGCATGTGGCTGCACTCCAGCCTGGGTGATGAAGTGAGACTCCAACTCAAAAAAAAAAAAAAAAAGAATATTAGATCCAAATGTCATTATCCTTCAGGCCTTACCTGGAGTACCAAATAAGTAGAAATGAGAATAAAAGTCATGATCCAAGGTTACAATACAGTACTAGTCTCTGATTTTCCTCGTATTTGATTAGCTTTGCTCGGTGTTCTAGAAGTGCAAAGCACCAGAAGAGGAAATCAGGGACTTTGTGTTCTGCAGATAACTTGTTCATAGAAAGAATGATGTTCATCTGACTCTTGCCATCCTAATTTCTCATACGTTTCATGATCCCTCCTATCCTTTACACAGTTGTGAACAGCCATTTATTATGCATCTTTAGTCCCCTGGTTCATCTTTCTTGGCAGGGGCTCTGAAAAGGAAATACTGGAGTGTGGGTACTAATGGATATTCACATACAGATGGTGTCGGGAGACATGTGTGTCTAATTGTTGGAAGAATTTTATGGAAATGTGATCTTGTTATCCAGCTCGTCTCCTGGGGACTGAGGCAGTATTATTCACTTCAACATTGTTTCTGATTTATGTTGCCTAATTTAGCTTTAATTTTCTGCCATTTTAGGTTGGCCAAAAGCCTGGAGGAAACTTGGTCCTCAGGGAATACCATGATGACTTTTCTTAGTAATTTCACAGTAACTGAGGGTAAGTATGTGCTTTTCCATGTTTGCTTGATTAAAAATTAAATTTAGTTTCTTATGTCAATATATTATTAAAATAAAACATACAGAGGAAAAGTTATGCTGTATGTGATGAATAATCATTTATAACGTGACTGGTCTTACGTACTTGGTATTTATAAAAAAATCCTAAAATCCCAGGGTACCAAAATCAAGCAGAGGAAGGAAGAGAAACTTCTGTGGTCCGAATTTTGCTCTGGCCTTGCCTCCTTGGACAAACCAGTTGGTGTCTATGAGTTTCTGTTTCCTCATCTGTTTGATTTATGCAATTCATGAGGCTTCTTTTACCATCAATAGGCTAAGTCTCAAGAACTCTGGCAAATGTTTAAATGATACTCTTCTTGTTAAAAAAAAAAAAGTGAGATAAGTAGACATATGGAAGTGAGTTCCCTATAGCACTTGGTAACTGTTCCCTAGGAAAAAGCTCTTGCTAAAGTAAATATTCTTCCTATGTATAGGTCTTAGAGAGAGTAAACCAGTGACTAGAAAATACCACATGACCTGGGATTTTGGTTTACCTGTATTATAAATTTTTTTTCATTTACTCCCAGAAGAGTAGGAAATGACTTTGTTTAGTATCTATTATAGGCTGAATAGAGTGAAGGAAACTATCCTTGTCAGGTTATGATGTTGAATTTTTTGAAAAATCAGTAATTATCTAAACGTTTATTATAAAATTATTTTCCTTGTGCTTATTTTTCAGATGTGAAAGTAAAAGATTTGATGAAGAACAACACCAAGTTGATTGAGGAGCTTCGATCTTCCATCCACCTCTCAGATGAAACTATTCATAGTATTTTAGAAGCAAACGTTTCCCACTCTAAGGTACGATGCTTCTTCTTGTCTGTCCTTTGTGCTCATGGACAGAGCCTCAGCCTGAAGTTACTGGCATTGTGTTGTTCTTTCTCTCCTCTCCCACGGCTGGGAGGGATGGGCTGCTGTACAGAAGTATAACCCGGGGCAGAAAGGAAACAAGAGAATGAGGAAGAGATCAAAGGATGTGATTGTCCCATACCAAAATCTTGGGGTCTTTAACTTCATAACATTTGCCTTTATTTGGAGTGGGAGAGGATAAAATTGGTGATGTTATTTATTCTAGTGATTTCAACTCTGATACATGACACCCCCCAACAGGTCTCTACTTGGTTCAGTAGGTATTATAAAATTCTCAAAAATATTCCAGAACAAAAACGGCTAAGAGGATCTAAACATTAACCATGTTTTCCTTTGAATAGAGAGCAGCTGTGTATCAGCTGATTACATGCTGCCCTAGGGGCTGGTTGGGAAAACCAGTGAGTAACGGCAGGCTGTGTCATCTCCAAGGCAGGAAAGCTCTAGTTAAGGCAACTGAAAAACAATGGTGAAACTATTAAAGAGCTATTACAACAAATTAAGAGATGAATAGTAATACATACTGGTGGCATCCGGATCTGGTTTATCCTTACAAGAGGGGAACAGGATAATTTCATGTTGACCATAGCAGTTATCACCTGGATCCTTAGCAGGTGCTTTTCTAAGACAGTCTTTAAGCCTTCCTAATGGGTTTTTACTTTCCTGTACAGAGAACCTTTCAGAAGTAGTAAACAAGAAACTGACTCACAAGTGAACATTTCAACTGACAGTCAACTGGGCCCCAACACACATTTAATTTCATGTCATTTCTGGTTAATTGGTTATTGTAAGCTTTACAGGTAGATTAATTAAGAATTTATCCCAATTAAGAAAGACATAGGTTGAAGCTAGGAAGGCAGAATTCAAATTACTGCATCACCAAATTACATACAGAAAGACATGTAATTTCTGTCTTCAAGGAAAAATGTCAAAAATTCAGCTTATTAGGCACCACATCTGCACGGAGATGTTGGGACTGAAGGTGGAGGGGAGGAGAGCAGAGGGTGGAAATTTCTTCTACCCACCTTGCGAGTTGCCTTAGAGAGAAATAGTGATTAGCTATGGTAGGAAATCTTTAGTTACTGATGCTTGTCACAGGAGAATGCAGAGATGACAGAATTAACTTGAATAGTTACCTAGGAATGCTTTATAAAACAAAGGTCAGATTAGCTAACTTTTGGGGTCCCTTTCAAACTCAGTCACCATATTTTGGGAGTCTAAGCTCAACTATTTTTGATTTTTGATCAGGTCACAGCCTGATTAAGCAAGCAGCCACCAGGTGTCACTGCTGTTCTACCATGGGATGGCTGTGCTTAGAGGAGGCTTATATCACAAAGTGGTAATTGCCGCGTAGATGGTTTTGCAGTGTTTTTTTGCACTTTGTGTATCTTCCTTTACTTCTCTGTCATTATAAATCATATTGTTGCCTAAGTGGTGGGACAGTTAAGTGATTGGGAGAGGTATTTAAAAAGTCACATTCTTACTATTCAAATAGATGATAAGGTTATTTGCTTTGATAGCCAAGTGTGTCCGTGAACCACATGAATCTACAGACACTAGGCAAAGAATTCATATCAGGTTAGAAGGTGACACTTTGACACTATTGTTTTTCCTGTATTGTAATGTGGACAACAGCATCATGTTATATGTGGTATATTTCCCTTATCTTTTTTCCTCATCTTCTCTACTGTAGTTTTAGTTAGTTTGCAAATCATGACATCACATCAGTCCAAACTGTTGGTGACCTGCAGGGAATACTTTTCAGCAGTGTTAAGACCCTGGAAAAATTGTAGAAATATTCATTCATTCCTTCATTTATTTGCTTAAGATGTTCCTGCATGTCAGGCGTGGTCTCAAAAGCTGGGACTCCAAGTCCCTGTTCCAAGGGAGTGAATGCTCTTTGGGTGATGACACAGTCAATATGTAAGCAATGATGGGCAGTATAAGTTAAAAGACTGGAATGTTCTGTGAAGCATATAGAACACAGCGATGGGGACAGGAGGTCCCTGGGAGCCTCCTTGGGCAGGTATATTTGGAGATCAGACAGGAATGGTGGTGAACTTTGTGAGAAGAATCACAATGCTAGGGGCATCATAGCAAAGGATCAGAGGCAGGAAGGAGGACATAGAGGCAAAGGCAAAAGCTGGTACCATCTTTCTTTGCTGCCTGTTTCCCTGACTGCAGAGAACCTGCTGTGGGTACCTTTGGGAAGTTCTCTCTTGCAGAGCTCAGTTCTGTAACATCAGCATCACCCAATTACAACCACAAATCATGGATGCATGGGGCGTGTTGGCATGGAACAAGTCTAGCACAGCCTTGGGTCCTGGACTTGGATCCCCTCTTCCTCACCTATGAAGCACCTATCTGCTGTATGATTCCTGTGTTTCAGGTACTCATCCAAATTAACAGTGCCTTCCTTCTTTGCATTGAGCCAGATTTTATTCTTTTAAAATTAACAGTGAGGTCAAGACCCCAAATAGATTGAGAGTAATCAGAGGGTATGTCTTTTGCTCTCTTATTTTCTATACTAAACAACTAAGCAGCATTTGGATGACCTTTTAAGGAAAAATACTTGGAAGATAAATGTTTTCCACAATCCTCAGTGGATTTGTCCTCCTTTCCCCAAGATTCTTAAAGAAGATGGGAGAGAGTCCGGGCTCCCCAGAGAGTAATAATCTCTTCTGGGAGGTTCCTCCAAATGGAAAGGTATTCTGAGACTTCTCTCAAGTAGACAGGATGGAGTTTGGTGAATCTAGATGAATTTCCCTATCTCACTTGAGTCTGGTCCTGTGGGATGGTTCTGTGTGTTGTTTCATTAGCAGAGCTGTCTGATACAATTTTTGATTTTTAGAGAGAGAAATTCCTTACAAGAACTCAGCAATGTTACATATTAACATTTGTTATAGTTCATGGAGTTTGTCTTCTGAAAAACTCCAACATATAGTTCTTGGTAAAACTCCCGGCTCGGTGGCTCAGCCTGTAATCCCGCGCCTTTGGGAGGCTGAGGTGAGTGGATTGCCTGAGCCCGCGGGTTTGAGACCTGCCTGGGCAACTTGGCAAGACCTCATCTCTACAATAAATCAAAAAATTAGCCGGGCATGATAGCGCGTGCCTGTAGTTTCAGCTACTTGGAAGGCTGAGGCAGAAGGATCGCTGGAGCCCAGCAGGTCGAGGCTGCGGTGTCCAGGTGCGGCCACTGCACTCCAGTCTGGGTGACAGAGTGAGACTCCAACTCAAAAAAAAAAAAAGAAAGAAAGAAACTCCCTTCAGAGTAAGTACTAGCCCAAATCTCATTCTGAAAGAGAAAAAAATGTGTGAAAAATAATTGGGCTGGGTTTGGTGGCTCAGCCTGTAATACCAGCACTTTGGAAGGCTGAGGCGAGTAGATTGCCCGAGTCTGTAGGTTGAGACTACCCTAGGCAACTTGGTGAGGCCTTGTCTCTACAATAAAATAAAAAATTAGGTAGTGCATGCCTGTAGTTCCAGCTCCTTGGAAGGCTGAGGCAGAAGGAATGCCAGAGCCCAGTAGGTCAACGCTGGGGTGGCCGTGAACGTGTCACTGCACTCCAGCCTGGTTACAGAGTGACACTCCAACTAAAAATAAAGAAATAAATAAATAATAAAATAATTAATCTGTGGCTAGATTTTGGGATTTTTTGGACCACGTGGAGGGATTTGACAAGGCATCTCCTGGAACCAGGCATCTCCTGTTATGTACACTGTCATCCTGGAGGGAGCTCATCCTAGGCTGCAACCTTGATCCATGACCATAATATCACTAGATTGAAGCTATGGTCCTTGTAATCCGGGGTACCCAGGATTAAGCACACATGCCCATCCTTTCCCACTGGCTCAGTCTCTGGTGCTCATAGGGTTGGACTCTTCTCCTGTTTGATTTGTCATTCCCACAGGGTGTTCTCACTCAACGTGGTAGGTTCTCATTCAGCATTCACTAAGACGAAGTGAAACTCTGGCGTTCCTTCTTCCATTAATCAGCTAGAGCTTTTTTAGGTCTATGAAAGCCACGTATGGTGCTAAATGCATTTGCGTTTCATTTAACTCCCTCAGAGCAAGCTGTTTCTCTCCTTTTTAAGGTAAGTGTGGTACCATGAAAGTCATAACTGTGGAGGGGGCTGAATTAAAATCCAGGCCTCTGAACGCCAGCTGTCCTATCCTTCCATCACATGTTGCTGTTGCTTCAATGATGAAGGATAGTTTTAAGTAAATTGCTGCTTGCTGATGCATTTGTTCTCTTCCTACTTTCAGTTATTCTTTGCACCTTTCTTTTCCTATTACGTAAATGCGCCTGAACTGAAATTTCAGGATTGGCATTGAGCTCTGCAAAAACTCTTCTTGCTGCTTCTGACCGAGTATTCTAACTTTCAAAGTGTTTTTAATCCTGACTAGATCCTTGCAAAGTGTCATTTGTCCTTCTCAACTTCACCAGTCACCAAGAAGATGAGGGTATCACCTGTCTGTTTGCTTGCACCATTAGTGCAGAAGGATGATCATAGCCTGGGAAGGTGCCGTTTTTCAGTTTCTTTGGGCTCTTAAATCAGTCACAACATGTATTCTGAGTGTTCTGGTGACTTACTAGCCTGATAATTTTATTATCAAAAGCAAACAACTTTATATTGACACAGACTATTCATGGTGACTCTACCGACGTGGTTTCTAGTAATCTCCTTTTTAACCAAGGGTTTATGCATCATCTGCTGGATAATCTATGGTCACAATTCTTCCAGAGTGGATGTTGTCATCTTTCAGCGATTTCTAAAGTCTTCTTTAAAAAATAAAACTGAGGTAGTTTTCATTTCCTCCATGACTTCTTAAATAGATAAACAGTAGAACTGTGACCCTGTCTGAAGGCATAAAAGGAGAGTAGTAACTGGAAATGGAGTGTGTGGGGGAGAGGACACACACTTTCTGTGGCT